TTCATTTCTAATCAATAATGCTATTGAGAAGTTCAATACCCTTGTTCCAATTATTCTTCTGATTGGATCATTGAAGTCTAAACTTGAAAGCAATTCTCAGAGCGCTGATCTATGAGGCTTTTACAGGTCTTCTAGACATGATTTCTTAAATTTATCATCTTTTATTAACTGAAATCTCACATCCAATTAGATTGAAAAGGTGAATAAAAGAAAGCTAGATTCAGACTTTAAGACTTCGTTACCTAATGCTTTTATTTTGCACATATTACTATAGAAGATCAAGTTCCTTTTAGATATTGTTATTTTTTAATCCGTTCCTGAAAGTACAGAGTTTCAGTGAGACAGGCTTAACAATACTCAATTCACAATGTTTTCAGTTCCCTGACTCACGGATGTGATGTGATGTGAGAAAGAGATTTGGGGATTAGTGATGTCATGATTTTAAAGAGGGTTTTAAATGGTAAGTGGTTTTGGAGTTCTTTGAAGAGTGTGAGGGAAGCCTGCTCTACCTTATGGAGTAGGATTTTGGAAAGGAATGATGATAATCTCGGATGATTTTCCAAGGTACTAGTTTTAGGTAGGAATCGAATAGTGAGATTTCGGATGGATGTTAATTGTGGAAATAATACTTTGATTGTTTTCCTGGGCTTTTCAGTTAAACTTGTGCTGAAATGAGCTTCTTGCTGTCTGCAAATTGCATTGAATTCAAGAGCTGTTTTAGAGCTCTTTTGATTTTAATCAGAGTGGATGCAGGAAAGACTAGTTTAGATGGGGCTAGGAAAGGTGTATTCAATCTTCATTGTTTAGCTTTTTGTTACTGCTTCATGTGGCGGACAGAGATGATAAATTTTTTGAAGTTTACAACCCATCCGTTGCTTGTTTAATGTCTGGATGGATTTTGGACCTCTTATAATATTGTGTGGGAGCTAGGTATGCCTCTTGTTACAATTTTATCATAATAATTTTTTCTCGATTTATCAAAAAGGAAATGAAAGAGAGGATATACTTTTTCTGATAGGAGGATGTAGTTCACTACTTCGGTGGCACTTCCTTTCCTATATTTTAACAACGTTACTGTTAGCAACTGGCAATAATATTTGACCAGATTCTACTCTGTGGGGAGACTATTTATTCATGATGCTATTTGAAAATATTTTACATGCATTTTTTAGTTTCTCTTGTGATTAGCTGACTACTTGAACC